TGTACTCGGTCCAACCCTTTATCTGCTTTTCACATACGATTTACCGAAGACGGTAGGAATTGTAACCGGTACATTTGCAGATGATACAGCTATCCTGGCGAGTGCAAACGATCCGTCTGTAGCCTCATTCAAACTACAAGCTGGTCTTGATCGTATATCAAAATGGTTGCAGTATTGGCGCATGAAAGCAAATGAAACAAAATCTACTCATGTTACATTCACAATGAGAAAAGACACCTGCCCGGAAATTAAACTTAATAATATAATAATTCCGCAATCAAATAGCGCTAAATACTTGGGCATGCACTTAGATAGACGTCTGACATGGAAAACACATATTTTTAACAAAAGGAAATCCCTTGGGATTCAATACAGAAAAATGTTTTGGCTACTAAATAAAAAATCTTCAGTATCCCTAAAGAATAAACTTATTTTATATAAAAGTGTGCTAAAACCAGTATGGACCTATGGCATTCAATTATGGGGAACAGCCTCAACATCCAACATAGAAATTCTTCAAAGATTTCAATCTAAAACTTTACGGGAAATAGTAAATGCCCCATGGTATGTAACTAACATTCAAATCCATCGGGACCTTGGGATAATCCCGGTAAGAGATGAAGTAAAAATGGTAGCTAGAAAATACCATGAACGAATACAAATTCATCCCAACATCCTAGCTTCGAATTTGATGTCCCCCTCAAATATATTTACGAGACTGAAAAGGAAAACGCCGCTTCAAATTTTATTATAAAAATCAAATTTTATTATAAAGAAATCTTAAATTAAAAAGAAAAGAGAAGCTCTCTACAGGGAGAACTACTTTAATTGTAAATGATCAAGTCTCAAATAGTATTTATTAAAAAATTGTAAAATGTCACCGTACTATGTGACAGAATACTTATTGAATTTAAATTAAATAAAAAAAAAAAAAAAAAATATAAGTTATCACTAAATATGATAATATGATACAATTAAAGTATAATTGCATGATACTAACTTTTATCTTAAGGGTGATCCTTCAAGTCTGGCTGCCAGACAGTGGCACCTTAGTGGTATCCTAATAAATGAGGTGATGGGTGAACAATACTCACCGGTATTCTTCAAAAATCTATCAACTTACAAATAAATATGGTAACATAAAAGATTTTGTGAGTTGAATTTTTACTCTTTGATATTAATTCAGCAGATTATTATAAAATCTATTATACTTTACTATTATAGAAAAGATAATTCCATAATAAAATTATTATTCTATTGAAGAATCTATTATAACACTTGCAGATTATTATAATATTATATTTTCTAAAAAGTGTATTAACAGTATGTGTTTTACAAAATAAGTGTTTTAATCATTTTTTCAAAAATATAAAATATAAATTTTTAAGAAATTGATCTAAACTACATTAATAAATTAATTCTGACTTATAAAATAATTTTAGATTCCAACACATCAACTTTAATCGTTTTTACATTCTTACACAACTTCAACTTTTTCTGATCTTAACAATTAAATGATAAACTGTACCATATCTTTGGAACATGCCTCCACTCTTTTAAAGTCTATAAACCGAGGAAGCACATCAAATTTCAAAAATAAGCAACTATTGTTGTGAATCGATGATACATACCTATAACGTAGTCAATAACAACTCTTCAATACTGACCACCAAAAGACTCATATAGTGCTTATACTGCTTAACACTTCCTTATTTGCAGTCCTTACCCCCACTACCGCATAATGTGCTAAAAGAAAATGAAAAGTTTTTTAATTAAAATTGGAAAATTTCCAGATAATTTTTTATTCCTTTCCCTTCTTTTTCATTGTTTCGTATCATATATATATATATACATATATATATGTACATATATATAGTATAAAAATTTTTTGTTCAATAGCTGGTGAAATGTTGAAATTGTGGTATGAACAGTTTAATAGCAGCCATTTTTATTTTTGTTGTAGCTGGCAATGCTGCTGCTAGTCTGCCATTGTTTAAGTAATAGTGCCCATTGTGCATGATTGAAGGCTCCTTCATCACTCGTTAATGGAGCGAAATTCCAATGAATGTTTGAACTCAAAGAAATTAAAGCAAAGTAAAGAAAACGTTAAATACAAAAAAAGAACTCCAAGTTCTATAACAAAAAAAAAAAAAAATAGAACAAAATAGTAGATGCCAAGTATTAAATGTTGTGCTAGAAATTAATGGTATTTTGAGGAAAAATGTTCAAATATTTTACACTAAAAGCATAAAAATTTACTCACTCTATTAAAAGCTCACACTTTAACATAACAACTGTGCAAATATTTTTGGAAACATCAAGAATGAAGGAGCATTTGAACACTTAACTCGTTAACAACTGTGTGGCATTTAACCTTTCATTGTGGTGCTAAGTGTTCAACTAATAATTTTATAAGTAGTTAACGTACTTAACGCCACTGTTATTTGTCAATGGACCCACTGAGACGAAACTCTCAAGCAATTAAAAATATCTACAATGTTCAATAGTTTTTCAGTATTCGTACATGGTATGAATTGATTACTTTGTCCATTTGTAGTGAAGCACAGTTGTTTGCTATTGAACAATGATTGGTATTTAAGTCTTCACTGAGACTTATTGTCTTTCGCATGACAGTTGCTTTGGTGTTCCATAGAAATTCATAGCTGAACAATATAATTGTTGAAATAATATGACAGCAGTTATTTAAGGATTCTGCTCCTGTACCACTACACAATAGAGCACAAATTATATTGTACTGGCTAGGAAATTTCGATATACACGTATATTGGTATGTATGGATATGTAAATTGTTATAGGCAAAAGTCAATGACTTCTGCAGACAATCGAAGTATATATTTTTTATTTTGTAAAACGAGGTAACACAACATTTTTTTAATTTTTTTTTCTGATAATTGTGTTTAAGCTAACAAAAACTTTGAAAGCAATTACAATTTGATCAAGATAATAAGACAATTTAATGAACTATTTCTATTTATACAAAGAAAAATATCTTTTCAAAAAAAAAAACACATTCATTTTAAGACATCTACCAGAATCAATAACCAAAAAAAATTGGGCAGATGGTATAAAGTATGCTATGCACTGGAAAATCCTAAGAAGATCACATTGCTCTACTCAACTGTGAACCCCAATTACCTAATAATATTCTTGTCCATTCTAAGTTTTACGCTATCTCTAAATGTTATAAAACATATAAATTTTAATATAATTGGTTACAAATAAAATGGTCGTCCAAAAAACTTACGTACTTAAAAATTAACTTCTTATCTTTCTTTCTATTTAAATTAGCTTTTTCTTGATAGGACATATAAATTTTAATTAGGTAAGGTTAGTTTATACCGAGGATCTCTAGGGGATCCATGTTATATATATAGGAATAACTTTGGGTTTAAAACCACCTAGAACTTTTAAATTTTAATTAGAATATCACTAAAGTGTTTATATATATTTTTATTAACTATCATATTCAAATAAATCATTGTTGTTATACTACGATTATAATGGATAAATGATATTATCCACTTTTAATAGTGTCACATTTAAGTTGAAACATAAAAATATTAAACATGTCTTGATACAATTATCAATTTGCGTTGTGATGTTAAAGTGAAATACATTCTTAATGATTTAAATAAAATTTAATTAATTTTTCTTTAATATTAATTTTTTTATATAATTCATTTCTTGTAGTAGCTCATTATATTGTATTTCTGTAATGAAATATCAAATAGCAAAAGTAATAAGTACTTACAAATGCCGTATTAATATAAATTTACTTCATAGCTGTGAATTCGTATAAATCAAAGAATATATAAAGATATATATAATTGTATATAATTTTCTGTTGTATTACACACACACACTTATATATATATATATATATATATATTGTATATTCACATACAATATATAAGACTGCCATCCATCCACAAACTTTATTCTACAAGAATCACAAGCTGTGTCTTATATACCCACTTCCGGTTGAAGCTTAATTAAGCGGAAACTGATTTAATTGCATATTTGATGAGTTGTTTTGTATGTGTTTGTGTTGCTTAATTTTATGCCATTGTAAAAGTATTTGTAGCTCCTAGCTTGTTTTATGAAAAATTCTGCAAAAATACCATCAACAATGAGAGGAGGAAATAATATAGCAAGAAATGCTTTCATATCAAAATGTTGTGTTAATGTTAAATACTAGCAAAATCGTTGTCATAAACTTAACTTGAGCTTAACATAAATTGTGATGAATACTAAAAAGGTATTTTATTTATTTTGTGCCACTTGCCACTTGCCACACCACAACACACCATTCCGCTATACTCTGTAGTCTCAGCTCCATCACTGTACCACTCCATTTTACTGCTCTCTAAGTTGAAATGTATTCTTTGAACTTGTTAGGAACTTGCCAAGGAATTTCTGTAGAATATCTCAAATTCTTACGGTACAGATACGATATAAATAAATTCCTACCGCGTTGGCACAGATTTTTTTCTTTGCCATTTAATTTTATTGTATTTGCTACATAATTGTGAATATAAAATGTGAAATTTTATGTACATGTTAATTCGTTTTGCCATAAAGCAGGTTTGATTTTTAAATAAATGCATTAAATGAATTAAATATGAACAAGTCGCGAGATTTGCAGAGAATTTCAAGTTGTTATTTGTTTATGGCTTTCAGCGTTTAATGCAAAATAAAAGTTGATTTTTGCATTAATTGAAATACGGCATCGAGTAGAGACGATAATGTTGACTGGGCTGAATACCAAATGGAGCAGAAAGTTCAGCAGTTGGCCGCACAAAAAGGAGGCAAGTTCATTAAACTGTAAACAAATATGTACATATCATTCAG